ATGTTACTGAAGCTTCGACAGTACAGTTGGCAGACGTCCCTGTTATCTCGATAGCATTCAGTGTTCGAAATGGCATCTTTGCAGACCTAACACTTATGAGTTAAATGCTCTTATGTGGTCAGATCGTATCATTCCGACCGGCCGTCCTTGCTTTTTCAATGACTTAGCGGCCTTTCCCTACGAAACAGAATTCCAAGGAGCCGGTCCCCGTCTTCCTTGTGGGCAACAAGTCTGACTTGGCGCGTCTACGGGAAGTGCCCATGGTGGATGTTCAAAAGGTGAGTTACACCTGAATAAAAAGTTATAAATTCACCTGCATTCCCTCGGATCCGCACCTTCCCTATATTGTGATTCTTGTGATTTTTAACTACTAACATTGCGCAAGTAGCTTGTTTATATTGCACTTATATCGTACTGGAATTGATTAAATGCAGCTCATATGTCCTTTTTAACATACGTCCGACCGAATACCACCAAGAGGAATACAAACAACAACCTTTTTTGGCATTTGTTTACATTCGTGTATGGCTTCCAGTCCACATGCGGGCGGAGAAACTTTCTGCCAGTATTTCATGAAACCCGCGAAAGTTTCCCACACGCACAGATCTCCTTTGAATTTCGACTATACTCTCCTTTCAGCTATCTAGGCAGCAGTATGCTCATGGGGTCTTTGAAACGAGTGCCAGGACAGGTAACAATGTGAACGCTCTCTTCCAGGCTGTGGCTGAGTCAATGCTCTCCACTTGGGGCGTACCAAAGGCAAGTTCTCCCGTTGTTCCCTTTAATGACTTCATTCGTGCTGCTGCGGGGCTTTCGCGCTTGTCCTCCCTTCTCAATTCCCGTCTGTTCCAAAACTACCTAATGACTATTTGTGCGCTAGAGCTCAATGACCAAGTGAATCCTAGACAAATTAAGGATCTTCCAAAGTTGGGTTTGGGTTTCGATTGAAGTTTTAAATGGTCGTTTCAGACTTATTCTTCTTTCAGGTGCAATGAAGAACTTACTGAATTATAGGGCTTTTACTTTTGCTCTTAAAAGCTCAAACTGGACAGCCCCTGATATACCAGAAAGCGGAAATTTATATGGGGGATGGTACATTGACAATGCTTAAAACGTAAGTGAAAAACCTTTCTCCAAGTTTTTGAACTACTTGACGTTCGCTTACCATGCGTACCACCCAACGAACACACTCTGAATTCTATTTGCAGTGTCTGCCGAAAATGTAACTTCTGAGCACGTGCAGTTTCCCGCAACAACTGAATGTACTTTTAGTGTATGCCCTCGTCATCATGACATCTTTTCTTCTTTCAGCTGGTTGACTACTCGGTAATTTTTTTCCCGGAGTGCTATGTTTTCTAACAGCTTTAATGGCTTGGTATTGACTTTACCTAAAACGCGCGTCTATGAGTAATATTTTGAGGCTTTATATCACTTTATTGAGGGAATAAGGCCTTCGCCCTTGAGCTCCTCATTTATATCCAACAATCGCAAATAATAAACTTAACCAACAGTACATATGACAATTGTGGAGTTAATGTCAGTGATATGTGTGAGCCAGTCGCAAACGGCGGCTACTGTTTTTTTGTATTATGCTCTGCAACCGCCTGCATTAGCGCTAACCGCCCTCATTCGCATCCCAAGGACTGATTCTTGCGCGTGTGGCCATTCCCATCTACTCAGATTTAACGCGTCACATGGCTAGGTACCGCTTGGATTCTCCTATCAATAATCAATAAATTGCTTTATTCGGCACCCATTAGGATACCTTCGTGGTAACATACGTTTTGAATGAATCTAAGAACGTGTAAACACATCCTATACATTGCTGGGTTTGCGTTAATAGAATAGACAGTTCAGAAGAAGAAAATGCGATCACTGGAGCAAGAATTTTATTTTCCTCACGTTTCGGATTCTCTCGAGAATCCTTAATAATAGGTAATCGTAGAATGATGTAGGACATGCAGAGAGTGGGTCGATACTTGCACAGATTTTGCAAAAAATTGCTTCCTGGAACTCGCTTATTCGCTTCTATCGGCAAAATAGGAAGTCTGATACGAAAAATTGTTAGCGAACAGGGGAAAACGCCTTTAGATTAGGTTGAAAAAGGCAAAATGAATCTGAGTTGATTAGCCTTTTAAATAAAAATGGTCGCTCGTGGGAGGAAATATATAATGGTGGAAGAGGATCGCCACGTACGATAGAGTAGATAGGAATACGAAACGTTCATCGGCAAGGTGGAAATCCTGAACCACATGAGGCTATTTGCTGCAGGTGGAATCATAGTATGTTGGGATGACAACAGAATAAACCATCCAGATAACGAGATAGAGGGAGTCCACCGCGATCAACTATGGTTCATTTGGCGTGAAAACGAGGAAGAAGCATAGAGGCTGAGATGATCTAAAAACCGCAGGGATATGCGAAAATTCTACTATTTGCTGGCTAACCGCTATCAGCAGATGTTAAGAACGGAGGAATCCACCGCGACCGTCAACGGATCGCTTGGGGTGAAGATGACGCTCAACGCCGTGGAAATCAGTAGTGCAGCGGGGTTTACACAATCGTAGGTAAGAGTTTCCATTTGAACAAGTAAACTATGTATTATGTGCCCTTAAATCCCAGAAGGTGTATTCTCAAAGTTCGGAAGGTAAGTTTTCAAAAAAGGAACAGTCAATAATGCCTGCGTGCTTTCTAAGGCATGGTTCTTACGTAATTTGAATTTAATTACCGATGCCTTCGGCGATTACCTGGGGTCCATAGAGAGATTATTCGAAAGCAAGGCATATATGGCTGCAAATATGGGTGAACATTTAGAAGAAGAGCAAAGAGGTGGCAGAATAACTATCGACGAATTAGGCCTGAGATGACACTTATCTACTGGGCTGAGAAAAACAATACTTGGAAGATTACGGTGAGGGTCACCTCGAAACAGAATAAACGGCCCGCTTGTAGTCTTTTGGCCTAATTGGCATCTCTCAGTAATAGAAATACTAGATGCAGAACAGAAAAGAAGTTTTCGAGTAAAACCTTTCTGAGAAAGTTCGGTTTCGCTGCGTAAACAGGCATTTATGCGGCCAAAGAAAAGACAGCAACATTTGAGGACAGGATAACTGAATCGTTTGGCATGAATCCACATATCAGCGCAGCGTCTGCAGAAGTCTTTAATTATCTATTCATATAAGTTTTCGCCTTAATCATTTTTCTGTGACTCTGTTTACAGCCCTCCGAGGATGAGTACAGACTTCAACTCCATGACATACCCGCTGAGGGCAATGACAAGAAAAAACGGAAGAGGAAACTAAGGGAAAAACTTCGATGCTGCTAGAAGACTAGCCCACCCTCACCGAGTCCAGTTTCTGCTTTCTGCCGTCTGTCTCATCGTCTTCCCTGGAATCTCGCATCCTGTAAACTTACTGCATTTCCCCTGCTCCCCGCCATCAACTGAGAAGAGAGGACCGCAGACAGCAAAGCGTCCTGACTATTCCGAACAAAAGGAGCATACAGCATCGCGGACATGGAGCCCCACTCTCTGTGATAGCCCCACCCCTCCCCTAAAGAATAATACTGTTAATACTAGTATTGGATTTATCGTGTTCGATTGCCCATTCCTTTCCTTACAAAACGAATGGCAGCAGTAAACTCAGGCAGAAGTCTAGGATAATGCACAATTTCGTACTGCCTACATTTGCTAGTGAACACGGAGCCCGTTTCAACTGCTTCGTCCCATTTTAATTTTGTTTTGCTACGATTTTGTTTTTACTTGGAAAATGTCTTCCATCCTGCTCACTCTTCCGTTATCTCGGTTATGTCTGTTGTTGATCTTAGTGCGCAGGTGCTGGATGGGTGCATGATCAAGTTTATCGATAAGGTGGGTCCTTCGGCAGGTAAACTTGTTGCAGTGCAATTCAAGTTCCAGATGAATCATTCGAACACTTTGCCGTATGTAACACTTTCTGCCTACATATGTATATTCCTTGAAGGCACAGTATCAAAATGTCAAGCAATGGTTAGTCTAGAGCGTCCTAAAGTTATTTATAGAACGCTTAAGCATGTATCTTCATGAAGGAGACGGCTTAATTGTTTGTGTAATACTGACAAGTTTTGAGCGTATTTTCGCGGAATTCTGGCTCTCTATTAGCCATGTGTGTTGGTTTCATCTGCCCAGTTGTTGTCTAGACAGCTTGCATCTTGTAGTTTATTTGGTATCTTAATATTGGTCGATAAAATGGGTTGCGTACCATTTCTAATAGCAGTTTTACTTTAATGCACTTCGAGGGGGGCTAGAATAACCCATGTTGGCTTGCGGAGGGTTGTCATTGAGTTGTGTTCCAACTGAATTCTCGACTGTGGTGGACACGCCAGGGATCCTGGTCTTGGCTGACATGAGTCCTGCCAACAAATGAGTTAGTGATGCTAGTATAATGCGCTCCCAATTTGAAAATCCGTATTGGTTTTATAGGTGCTCTTTAGGTTTTAACAACACTGCACCCACTTTATACGTGCGTCCTCCTACGGGACCAGATGTATCTGTAACATAAGCGCTAGCCAGTCGCAACTTGCCCAAACTCTGGACTGACATGTGGAGGGACAGTATAAAGTGTACAGTGGGCGATTTTGGCGGGTCCGCCAGTCAGTATATTTGAGAAAAAATAGGCTTGCGCCTTTGAACTCCCTATTCGTCACACCAAAATCTCAAGAATTATAAACAATGTTAACAAGTTATCTGTCAGGGAAATATAGACCGTCACATGGTACAGTGGTTTTTCAAGGTTAATTTGTCACATAATTCACGTTGTGTTGTAGCATGTGTATATCATTCGGTGTTTGAATGTCTCCACGGATTGGGAT